GCCTTCCTCTTGCTTATCATAATTTGCCCAAGTATCAAAGGCATCAAGATAAAATTCGATATGTTGCAATTGAAAATAGGAATTTCTTTCAAATATAGTGTGAATTAATGTTGTAGCCTTTTCATAGGACTCATAGGCCCATTGATAGCTTCTTTTTGCTTGATAAAGTTTCATATACCCGTGCGAGAGTTTAAAGGACAGTGCATCATATGTAAAATTGTGTTCTATCGCGTATAGCGATGAAGAAACATGTTTTAATTCCTTTTCAGCATCATCCATTTTTTCCATAATTAGATAAGTATTGGCGAGATTAAGATGAGATTCTAATAATCGACCTACAGTTCTATTTACATACAAAGTATTAATTACTTGGATCACCAACTTTCTATATTTTACAGCTTGTTCTAATTGATTAAATTGTTCTGCAATTTCTGCAGCTTGCTGATAAATATCAATTAATTTAACATGCGCTTGCTTATTATAAAGATTGTTAGCAAACTCAAGAGCTTTTTGAAAATTCTGTTCACTAAGGCTAAATTTATGTTGACTCGAAAACCATTTTGCAAAACTGATATAAAAATCTATCATTACATGATCACGTTTTTCAGGGATACATTCAACTATTTCTTTAGCTTTTTCGAGGTGAGTTAGCTCAGAAGACTTATTGCCTAATAAGCCTTCAATATTTGCAATATTACAATGAGCTTGTACACATTCCATTGATATTGCTTTATTATTTATCGCAAGTTTAGTTGGTATACGGTTAAATAATTCAAGAGCTCCTTTATGGTCTTCTAAGGATAATTTTAGATGACCTAAATTGAAAAGATCATCCACATCCATTGGTTTATTTTCTATATGTTTTTCATAATATTCGTAGGCTAATTGTGGCTTTCCTAAATGTGAATAGAGACGAAACAACCAAAAATATACATCTTTAGACCCTGATCTTTGTGCTTCAAGCAGTAATAGTTCAGCTTCCCTATAAAGCATAAATCGGAAACAAATGGTTGCTTTTGTCACAAAACTTTCATCTAAGAATGTTTCAGTTGTATTAATTTTATTTTTATCTTCCGTATTAATACTGGTTTGTACAAATCGATAAAGTGGTATTGCAATTTGATAGAACTTTACCAAGTTAGCAATATCATCTATACCAAAAAAATTTTCAACTTCTGCACTATTTGGAGTCATTTTCGTGTCCCAGATACTAAATTTTTCACTTTGACTATCATTTGTAATGTAGGTGAAAAGACGTGATTGTAATGCTATAGCCGTCATAAATTCCAAGTTTGTAGCTCCTTCCTCATTGATAATATTACTTTTTAGTAATCCTGAAATTTTGTCCCATAATATATTTCCAGGTGTCGCAAAAATTAATCGTAAACCTTCAATCAATCTATCTGGCAATCGGTAAATTTCAGTTTTAATGTTTAATAATCTCCCTTCGTGACTTACTTTATCAACATTAATTTTATATTTGTCTAAATCAGCTTGTAAGTTTTTCGTACCAGTTAACAGCAAAACTTTGGCCACACTTTTATGGAAAGATGAATGATCTGTCTCTTTTTGATGTAACTTTTTATCAATCATTTCTTTATAATCTTCATATAATGTTTTATTTCCGAAAAAGTATTGACAATCAATTAATTCAGCAACTAATAAAGGGTCCCGATCGAATGTATTAAGATCAATGTAGTTAGCTATATGTTGAGGGGTTTGAATTAAATCATAATCTTTATCAAAGCGTCCGAGCGGTGTCTTTCCTCCTAAATCAAATTGGAAACCTGGTTTCATTAAAATATCAAAATCGATACCATTCGTCTCATTTTCTACTTGGAATAAATTAAAAGGAAGTGCAGTTTGCCCTAAGCTGATTACAATAAAGTTCATTATATATACCATCCGGCGTAAAGCTTCTTTTAATTTCGGATCAGGATCATTAACTAAAACACAAAACTCTATATCTGAATATGGAGTAGCAGTGCCTTTTGCCCATGATCCCAATAGCAATACTGCAAAATTTTTTTGGTCAAGATTGTTATCTCCAAGAACATCGATAGCACGATGTATGATATCACTAAGTAGTTTACGCAATGATAAGTTAAGTTCTCGAAATCCTTCCTTAATTGCATCGACTTTTTCAGATTTCCTCGTTTTCTCCTGGGTTTGATGAATAATTGTTCTTGCTTGTTTGCATTGAATTTCTCTGAGTGATTCATAAAGTTTATCAATGTAAGTAAAAAAATCTGTTAAATCATTATTAGATTTTAACACTTCTTTAAATAAGAAATCCTTTAATTCTAATATCTCTTGGTTTGTTATTATATTTTCTTTAGAAATTTTGTTGGCAGCTTTATAAATCTTATAAACAGTCAAACAAAGGTCCGCAATTTTTAAAGTAATCTCGTTTTTTTTAATAAATTTTTGCCAAATTTGTTGACCAAGTCTCTTTAATAATTGTGCAATTTCTTTAGTATCATTCTCAAACCTAGCTTTATTTAATAAATGAATATCAGGTACGAGTTCTTCCATATTTTCAAACTCATATTGTACTGAAAATTAATAATCTATTAAATTAAGTTTCATTATTGTTAGACAAAAATGCGTATGATACATTACCAATGATTTTATGTAACAAAACCATTGCAGATCCGTTGCTATTCGTTATCGTTATACGTACTGTGAGTACATAGTACGCAAACATAAGTTTTATATTTTAATTAGGTTCATATCTGACAAATTTTCAACTTTCAAAAATGGATAAAATCATTGAAATCGATGTTATCGGGGTTTGCCAATTGAATATTTTGGTTAACGAACAGAATAAACTATTCAAGTTCATGATTATTTTATATTAGATTTTGTTTTATTGATTTAAAAAGCAAGCATAAAAACTGGTTATGGGCTGCATAAATAATGTAAAGTAACTAATAAATTATAGCGATGATACTTCTGAAATTGTGCGCATTGTGGTGATTATGAGTAAAAATAGTGACCCCAACACAACTCAAAAATGTGTGAATAATGGTTGCATAAAAAAATATTCAATTTAAAACACGATTATAAAAAGAAAAATTGGCAAAGAAAAAAATTTGGTCTTGTATTTTTTGCAACCTGCTGAATGATATATACAAGATCATTTTAACGTAAAAGTACATGAACTAACAAGTGCCATTGCGCTCAAAACTATAGTTAACGTTGGAATTCATTTACAGATTAATACAGTTATGCCACTTTCAGTGTAATTTTCCTTAAAACCCAGATTGCTATGATACCATAATTTCGTATTGAAGATATCCATGCTGCAAAAATAAAAATTAGGAGAAAGATCGGAAAGGGCACACTTATAGGATTCAGAAATACGTATCAAGTTAATGTCATAGTAATTGAATAGCGACTAGATTCTTCAAAGAAATAATTTTTTTATACATTATTTATTTTCAGTTTAGCTAATTGATTGTCGAATATGTTAAATATACTGTATGTTGGTTATTGTCAGCATACTATTTGCTGAATAGGTATTCGGCTAACTGAATGCCTATTCAATGAAGTAAAATAACTAATAAGGAAGCAGAGTGCCGATAACAGATAGTATACATTCAGCACATTCAACAGCAAATTAACCAAATTTAATATGGTTAAACTATGCCAAATTTTGGCATTTTGACTAATGGTAGTAATATTGATATTATCATCGTTATTTTGTCATTTTTACTGCACGTAGAATAAATTATGAAAAATATATAAGCAAAAATACAAAACTCATTACAGCAAATACAGGTCGATTTATTACAAATCTAATTGTGGAAGCGCATAATTTCTCGTAATAATTAATATAGTATAATGCCAGTTTTACGTTAGCAAGTCAGTTTCTCATTAGTGTTGAACAATTTAAATGCTATAAAACATGATTATTTATCGCTAGACAAGTTTTTTTATTAAAATTATTAAGTTATATAAAAAAAATTAATCAATGAAACATGATTCAATATAGCAACACGATAAAAACAAACCTTTATAATACATTAAAAATTTTCCTGCATATATTATCTTTAGCAACTTATTATATTTTTATCTAATTCCTTACATCGTTTTACGGCAATTTTGCCTGCAAATATCTGACAAGATAAAAAGTTACCGAAAACTCGGAAAGTAAGCACTGTTACGACCAAGGGAGAGACTTTGTATCCACTTAGCCAATTTAGCAATGAGTCGTAAGCATTAACAAGAGAAAGCCAAATATTTATTTACGCACACAAGGCACCAGAAATTACTAAACCAATGTGTCCCAGACACTAATAGTTTAAATATCCCTATTTACTAACCAACCTAGTACGTTCCAAACGCACTTAAACAAAATAACCCTTCTAAACAAATATCCAAAAGACTCACTAAAAACTAAAAGACAAACTCTAAAATAAGCTATAGTCTATTTACAGTCTAATTAAAGTATGCTTTATACTTCGCATAAACTATTAAAATGTTGCACACAAAAGTATATAAAAGTATTGGAAAGTATAATGAAAGTATAATGGTTACTCAATGAAAATTTAATTGTGAAATTTCGTTGTGTAACAGTACCATTTTTTTAATTAATGAGGGTGTTTATTCACCAGTTATTTAAAAAATCGATAATGTGCTGATTCAGTGATTGATCAATTCTATGAACACTGGTAACATAATTAATTTGACATCATCACTTATATAAGAATTAAAAAAATCAAGTAATTTATGAATAACTTTGTTTACATTCTTTACACTATCGGTACTTAATAGTGTTAAAACAAAAAAAAAAGTTATTCTGTTACCTTCAAACTTGAAGCTATTGAATATGCCAAAGAAACCAATATATACAAAGCAGCAAAGCAATATAGTATTAATCATACAATGGTATCACATTGGTGTAAATGAAAAAAGAAATTTAAGGCAGCAAGAAGCTTCAAATGACAAATAGGTACAGGTCAAAAACCAGTATATCCTCTTGCAGAAGATGCATTAAAATGTTGGATTGATAAATTGCATAATGAAGAAATTGCTGTATTGTCTTCTAATGTAAAATTTAAAATGCAAAATCTACTTATAACTGATTTTATTTAATATTATCCAAATATATCTAAAATTTTCAAGGTCTCTAATAATTAGTTTTATAGTTTTATGAACTGTTATAATCTTTTCTTTATCATTCAATAAAATTTGAACAAAAATTACCTCAAGATTTGCAAGAGAAAGTTTTAAGTTTTTATATTTTTATTAAAAACACACATCAAATTAATAATTGTAATCTTGTCTGTATTGAAAATATGAATAAAATATCAATCTTTTTTGATATAGTTAGCAAACTTACTATTGATTATTGTTATGCAAAGATTGTGCAAATAAAAACTACAGAAAATAATAAAAATTAGTTATGTGCTTATAGTGCTTGTTAATAGTATGAAATTTTTGCTAATAGTTATTTTAAAAGAAAAAGATTGCTTAAAGATCTTTTTTCTTCTAGTATATTGATTTAAATATATAGATAAGGATGAATAGATGAAAATTTGATACAAAACTAGATTAAAAATTTATGGAATGGAAGAAATATAAATATTTAACAAAACAAAGTTTATTAACTTTAGATGTTTTTAAAAAGCATTTAACAGATATAATCAAAAAAATTTAATGATAGTAGTACTATCATAGAAATTATATCCAAAAGATTCATATTATTTATTTAACTATTAAATGTTAGTATAAACAAGCCTTTCAAATATTGATTATATAAAAGATAAAAAAATTGGATAGTTAATAGTAAATTTTAATATATCAAAAAAAAATTTCAAAAGATTAGTATATAAATTAATGTATTAGTAGATTGTCAATACTTGAAAAAATATTTCTACTAAACTTGTTAAGAAGTCTTTTAAAAAATATAGTATTTCAAATAAATTTACAGAAGTAAAAATTCTCTAATTTTTAAAGAAGAAAGAAATAATAAATTAGAAGAACTATTGATTGTTTTAACTAAAGATTTAGAAAGTAATCAAGAAAATTTCTAATAGAATTAATATTTTTTAATTTATATTTATTGTAATTTATTTGTAAATATATACATAAATTAAATTGATTATATAATAATTTGGATATTATAATTATTCTTTATTATTCTTAAATTTTTTATAAAAATAAAGCTAAACTTGAAAAATATAAGTTTTAAAGTTTTATATATTTGGTAAATTACAAGAGATTACAACATTTAATAGTCACACTAAATTATAAAAAAGCAATAAATAATATTCTAATAGCAATATTGCTATATAAGAAGTATTTATTTATAGAATATATATTTTTGTTATAGAAATGCTTATTTATTATATATGCTTATTTTTCAAGTTTTATAGTATTAATATTACAATTTGTAACTAGTTTATTTAATTTTTTACAATGTTTACCTAATTTGCTAGACCTTTTAGAGTTTTTAATAAACTTAATAGATCTTTTATAATTTTTATCTAATATATTAGACCTTTTGTAATTTTAACTAATTTATTAAAGTTTTTATAATTGTTTTTAATAGCAATATAAAACAATAAATTATCTATTTTTACAAATTATAATTAAAGATTTTTCTATTTTAAAATTATTATAATTATTCAAAATCTTATAATATTTGGATCTCTTTTAGTATAGGTAGGCATATATAAATTATTACAAGATTATAATATATAAACCTAACTAATTTAAGCTAATTTAAATTCTAACCTTAACTCTGATCCTAATAATTTATAAAATTATTTAAATTAGTTCAAAATACTTAATTTATATATATTATAATTGTATAATAATTATATATTTTCA